TCCGCTTTTACTCAAAACTCACTTTAAACCACCATCGAGTGTTTGTAATAACTTCCGATTGCTGTCTAACAGGGCCGGATTTACTCATTGCTCAAGGCATTGAGCAAATAAATATAACAAACAATAGGGTAAAAAATTACAAACTATTTCCATGTCTTCCACCTTTTTTATGTAGGCTACAGAAATCAGGCTTTCTTTCTCCCGTTCTCTCTCACAGACACACACAGTGCAGACACGCAGAGACTTCTTGTCAGCGCTGCACCGCGAATTTATCAGTAAAATAGTTTCGCAGCTGAAAAGCTACATGACATTTCTCAGTAGCGAGGTTCATGAAGGAGTTTAACTTAAAGATTCGCTATTAGTAGACGCTGCTGCTGAACGCTGCTGAGAGACGCATAGACGCAAGTATTCACACGCACTCTCTCTCTCTAATAACCATTAGACTGCATTAATAAATGCGTAAGCCTGCATATCAATGGCTCAAGCCTCTGTTATCAGCTCTAAAATGACGTTTTGGAATTTGCAACGGAAGGTTTGGGATGAGGTGCGTAAAAACAATTAGTTCAACCCAAACGAGATCTCAGGACGGAAACATGTCAAATGTCTTGAAACAAATGATCTGGACAATGTCTTGATGTGTGGTTGGGACTCCAGGCCATTTAAATTATTAGAGAAATAATGCACTCCCGGAGGTGGTTATGTGGCCACGACTATATGGTATGGTCTGTCTCAGTTCTCAAACAAATTAAGAACTATTCGATTTTTATTGACTGAACGCAAGCGCTTATTCCGATAGAAAACACTGTATCGGTTTCCACTGATTAAGAAATATTTTTGTTTGCTTGGGTGGTAATATTAGGTTTATTATATTAATAGGGAAGGGGGCCCAAAAATGTTTTTTCTACGTCACGAAAATAGGTAAATCCGGACCTGCCATCTAATGTGTGTTTTGGCCATGTAATGTTGCTGAAATTAAATATGTTATTACCTCCGAGCCAGAGCAGTGATCATGGAAGAGAGAACACAAGCAGACAGCGCTGGAAGCTGCTAATGCTCATCAGTAAATCAGTGGATTCTGTCTGAGCTATGCTTTTTAAAACAAACACGCACTAGTGTAAATGTAGCCTAACAGATGTGTAAAGGGGGCGTGTTAGAACGAGCCGTTTTAGGGGGGTGTGGCAGAGTCTTAACTTTGATAAAGAATATCTCTTTGGTTTTGAGACTTTAGTCTTTGCAACTTCAGGGATCTTATCTATGCACAATCAGCTTGTAACACTCCAAAGAGAAAGCAAAACTTGAAATCGCATCATATGACCCCTTTAAACAAATAATAAAAGATGAAGATTGAATGTGAAATTAGGGCAGTGTAAAAGTATATTCAAAAACTTTAACGTTAGGCAGGATTAATCATGATTGACCGTGATTAATTTCAGAAAATAAATGCCATTAATTAGTAAAAAATTTTTAATCGATTGACAGCGCGATTCCAAAGCAGTCGCAATGTGATGAGATTCCAGCAACATGCTAATTGTAAAGTTAAAGAGTAAGACACGACAAAAATCAATCACAGCCAATCAGAAGTTGGCATGGGTGGGCTCACTCTGCTAGCATTATCGTGAGTACATAATCAAGCTAATCAAGATTAATACACTTGTTTGTTCACAGATTCAACGTTCAACCATTATTTTCAAGATCTCTCAGGTAAATTATACATTGTTGCTTCCATTGAGGCTATTAAAAACATGCAAAGTGATGGCCTATCCAATAACTTACACAACTTCATGGAAACTGAAATCTTTTCTAAAATAGAATCCCCTGTCACTGTTACATTTTACTGTTTAAGACAAAAACTGATTAACATGGAAAAGATACCTTTTATTTATCACGTGTTGTAAATGAGTCGCTCAGTGTTGCGCTATTGCATACTCATAAAATTGGGGGGGGGTAGCTTAAATATTTACAAGTCTGTCATGATTTACATGGATTACATGGTTTTTGTCAATTTTCAGTAGTGCTTCAAATTATCTTTCATATAGGCCGAGTTAAAAAAGAATTAATTGCTTCATAAGGCTTACGTTGTACATGAATAAAACATTAATCACATTTGGTAGCCAACATTCAAACCAAGAAATTGCATATTCGGTCACACTTTAGTTTGGGGACCAATTCTCACTATTAACTATGGCTTTTGCCTCAATAAACTCTTAATTTGCTGCTTATTAATAGTAAGTTTTTATATGGGGTCAGATTAAGGGATCTAAAAATAAAGTCATGCAGAATAAGGCATTAATATGTGCTTGCTTTTAATAAGCAACTAGTTAATTGTGAGAACTGGTCCCTACACTAAAGGGTTACTGCTTTGAGTATACAGATGTGCGTAGAAGCACTATGTAAATGCCTCATTCGTTTAGAGCAGCTCCAGTGCAAGCAGCATAATGGCACGTTTAGGTACAACATAACCAGCGCTGAGAATGTCAGAAAGCTTCCCCGTCTCTTCCTAAATGATAATGAAGCTAGTGTTACCAGAGTTGATGTTGTAAAATGAGTAAACAGCCGAGATGCTGATCATACAGGAAAAAGTTATTGTATTCAAACAGCTGGACAGTGGAGATATTCAGACAGAGAGCGATCAAATGGAGGGCATTTTAAATGTAGAAACTTTTGACCGGACTCAAACAAACAAACATGGTGCATAAGTCCAATGCAAAACTGATGCAAAAAAAAGCATGTGTGTTTTTGAAATGTGTTGCATTCAGATGTGGAGACTTGCACCCCAGTCAGTCCGTTGTTGTATTGGCTGTACTTTGCTTTGTGTTCATTCTGGAGTCTGAGTTATGTGATCTGGATAAAGCACCTCTCTGTGTTTTGCTCCATTTATCTTTCCCTCAGTAGTCGTTAGTCTTTCTAATGAAGCCCATCCCAGTATGTCTAGCTGGCAAGTTATTGAATTATCAAACGTTTATTTACAATTACACAGTGGACCATGTTATGAATCTAAATCTGATTGTTGTGAAATTTGTGGCCATACTAATGATAATTTTCATTCTGCACCAAATGAAATAAATCAGCTGAGAAACAACCCTTTGAGATTTGAATTCAGTGCTGCTACATTTTGCCGTTGTATTCACCATATGAATATTAGAGTAAAGCGTTAGGCTTTGTTTGGATAATTCCCACACTTTCAGTTTTGTTGTGTTGCTGTGAGATTAAAAACATCAGCAGACAAACCATTTCTTTGAAAGGCCATTTTTATCCAACCTGTTAGAGAAATGAACTAACATTTATATATCGCATATAATATATAAATATGAAATTGAAAACAAGTACCATCAGAAACTAGAAAAGTGAAATGCAATTTAAACAAAAACTAGGATAAGTTGTAATTAATATTATTCATTAATATCAATGATCATTTTCAGATTTTCCATCATTTACCAAAAGCTCTGATTTTTATTTTATTTTATTTTTTGATGAGGCACAATCAATTGTATGATTCTACAAACACTACATAATTTTTGAATTAAATGGTTATATTTGCAAAATAAAAATTGTTACAGTTTCACCACACAAATGTAAATTTCAATGTGTAAGTGCATATATCTATACAATTTTTCCTGATATATTCTCATTAAACATTTTGATATTTCTAAATTAGGCAATAAAAAACATATCAAACATATGAACATGTCTCCATCAATGCTTCAAGCTAACATTTTCAGTGATTTGTCAGTATTGTAGACCCAAGTCATCCTCTGGCATTTCATGTTCTGCTGTGTTTCTTCCTCAGCGGTGAAATGGATGATGGAAAGCCGGTGTGGGCGCCCCACCCTACGGATGGGTTCCAGCTGGGCAGAATCATCGACATCAGTGCCGATAGTCTGACCATCGAGCCTCTCAACCAGAGAGGGAAGGTGAGGACGAGCGTCTGCAAAAATACACAGGCCGAAACATACCGTACACAAAAACGCATGCTTCCAGTTACACAATCTGTTATTATAGTTTTTTGCATTTAATATGTGTCAGAATGCCATTCATAATGCAATGTACAAGTGCACTATATAAAATGCTCTTCTATGCTCAGTTTTCTGTTATGGCAGATCAACAATTTAAAGAGAATCTTGCTGAGCAGGTTAAAGTTGGTTAAACTGTCTTCGTGTTTATAGCCAGTGGAATAACACAGTGGTTCCCAACCCTGGTCCTGGAGGCACCCCAACACAGCACATTTTGCATGTCTCCTTTCTCTGACACACCAATGTCAGGTCTTGGAGTCTCTGCTAATGAGCTGATGACCTGAATCAGGTGGGTTTGATTAAGGAGACATGCAAAACATGCAGTGTTGGGGTGCCTCCAGGACCAGGGTTGGGAACCACTGTAATAACACATCTGGTTTAAAGGGGAAGGTTCAGTAACACTTTATTTTGATTGTCCACTTTAGACATACTATTAACAGTAAGTAACTCTGCAACTACATGTCAACTAGCTGTTAGTAGAGTATTAGGTAGACTGCTTAATATCTTCTAACACTTTCTTTGTCAACTTATTCTACTAACCCTAAACCTACCCTAACCATCTACTCTGAGAGTTAGTAGACATGTAGTTGCAAATCAATGAGAATTAGTTGACATGTAGTTACAAAGTTACTTGTAGTTAGTAGAATGTCTCAAGTGGACTATCGAAATAAAGTGTAACCGAAGGTTCACCCAAATATGGGGGGGGGGGGGACTTGTCATAATTTACTCAACCTTCTTTCATCTCAAACATATATGATTTTCTTCTTCTGATCACAAACAAGGATATTTTGAATATTTCTGAAAGCTGATACCTGTCTGTAACTTCCATTGAATGTATAAATTAAATCCGAGGGAATGACAAGATATGACAATTGGTTGCACCTCATTTGATAACATTTATAAGCTTGAGCTTATTGTTTTGCAAGTGTAAATTTGCAGAATTACGGTTAGGTGCATCTTACCGTTTTCCCTTCGGTGTGATCAGACCTGACTGCCAATTTTGTATTTTTACCCAAGTTAAGAATCACTGAAAACAGTTTTTCATGCACAACTTTGTAAATCTACCGCTCCATGGCATAAATCACATTTTATCTAAATTTGAGAATGTGAATTTGTAAAGAAAGTAAACATTTCTAAATGAATTGTGGCGAGAAAATAAGACACCGTATAATGAATCAATTGGTATTTTACATCACCTATTTGAATATTCAAATGAATCCTTCATTAAATGAACTTCCTGAATCCATCAGAGCGGTTAATGAATCATTATATGACTGACTTCTGAGCTGAAAGTTATCATTGCTTATAGCCTTGTCCATCTTGAAATGTTGGAATGTACATCTTGGAGCTTTATGAAACTTTAATCATTACTGGCTCATTGTTCATCTGAATGTAGTTTTAATGTTTTATTTAAATATATATCTTAAACTGCGTTGTCATATGAACAGTCAGTTAAGAATGATTAAAAGTTTGATTTATGTTTCACAAACCTTAAGTACACACAACTTAATTTCAAGACGGTCGCCGTTAAAAATAATGGGCAAGGGTGAACGGGAGACACAATTCTGTAGAGAACGCAGGAAGACAAACGTGACCTATACCTCAGGCTGGAAATAAAAGTGCTCGCTCACTTACTGGTTGTCAAGGAACGCCAGTGAAAATCTTAATTAAAAACTGCATTCCCACGTTAAAGTTCGGATGATTTAATAGCTTTTATTAAAATGCTTTTGCCTTAAGAATGAGGAACTGCTAATACGATCTCATAATGAAGGTACTCACATTTCCTCTCCTGTTCTGTTTCTGTCAAAAACATTTTTGCACTTCACAGATTCTTTGCAGAATGATTTAAACTCTTCGGATGAATGCTTCTGTTTTCAGAGCCACTGCAAACACATCCTGTTGCCCATATGGAGTCTGGCTATCTCTGGAGCTTGACAAAGATTACAGTAGCAATAACTCTGTGTTTGTGTGTGTTTTCACATGTGACAACTTCAAGACAGAGTGTTGTGTGCAGCATTACATCTAGCCCATGTGATTTGTGTGCAGTGTGATGTCGCCGGGATGTGAAAGCACAATGGGCTGTCTGTTCACATGCTACAAGTGTGTGTGTGTGTGTGTGTGTGTGTGTGTGTGTGTGTGTGTGTGACTGTGTGTGTGACTGTGTGTGTGGAGTACACACTACTGTCTGATATTAGAACAGAAGCATGGAGGTGGAATACGTAAAGCAGGAACCTTCACTGTTGCATTTGATGTGTTTGCTATGGAAAGCATCAATATTGCTTTTGAGCAATCTAATCTCTAATCGCACATATTAAGGGGGCAGTTCACCCAAAAATGAAAGGTGTTACTCACCCTCATGTTGTTCCAATCCTGTAAGGCTTTTGTTCATCTTTAAAAAAAACAATTGAAGATATTTTTTATAAAATTTGATGCATCAAAAAGTTCATAAAAAAGATTGTAAAAGTTATGCAAATGAAGGTCTTCTGAAGAGACACAATGGCTTTATATGAGGAACAGATTTAATTTAGTGATGTATTTACATATTAAAATTAGTGCTGTCAAACGATTAATCGCATCCAAAATAGAAGTATTTGTTTACATAATATGGGTGTGTGCTGTGTATATTTAGTATGTATATATAAATACACACATGCATGTATATATTTAAGAAAAATATGTTATGTTTATTTATTAAATATATTTATATATGATAATTTATATGAATATAAATATATACATGTAAATACATGTAAAAATTTTCAAAATATGTATTGTATGTGTGTGCCTTTATATATACGTAATAAATAAACACAGTACACAGACATATACAGTGGTGTGAAAAAGTGTTGGCCACCTTCTTGATTTCTTCGTTTTTTGCATATTTGTCACACTTTAATGTTTCAGATCATCAAACCTAAAACTAAAAACTGGTTGGGCCACCCTTAGCAGCAACAACTGCAATCAA